ACAGTTCTCACAGCAAGAAAAGAACACTGGAAGTCTTGTTTTGCATCTTCACTTAGCCTGATCATTTGATTTGGGTAAAGCTTTAAGTCTAAACACCAAAACATTTTTGTCTTCTTTGGTTGGGAAGGGTACTGTAGTGTGCTTATTATATTTTGTTTGGGGCTCTTGTCATCTGTTTGAGTTTCCTAACTTCTACTGACTAAATAGTTGCAAGATAATTAGTAAGTGATAGTGTCTAAACAGAGAGGACTGAGCTGAGCGTCATGAATGTGTAATTTACTGGTCTGTCCTCTGTAACTGATAGATCCTTATTATTCTATCTATGGAGAGTCACAGACATCATCTCACATGTACCGCAGTAAAAAGGTGAATGTTCTCAGAGAGCTTCTGTAATTTGGTCCCCAGTTGGGCCTGGCTTTTGCTCACAGTACTGGATTGGTACATGTTAAAGATTTTTAACTTCCTTGTTCTTCATAATCATTTCAAACAACTGAGCTGAGTGCATTGACTTTTTATTTACTTATATTTCTATATTAGCTACAGCTTGAATTTTTGTCTTTTAACTCAAGAGACTTTCATGTTAAGGATAGATAGCAAGGTATATTTACTACAGATTTAAACACACACCATCATGTCACTATGGATATCTCCATATGATTAATAATGTCAATTATTATAACATCACAGGTGTGCATGCTTTTCTTTACAGTATCATTGTAGAAACAGGTGGCTATGGGTTAGGTACTCATTAGAGGGAGGAAATGTAGTCACAGAGATTTTAGGCACATGTTAGTAAACAGAAGCTACATGAAAATATTTTTTCTTTTTTTTTTGTTTTTTGTTTTTTTTTTTTTCAAGACAGGGTTTCTCTGCAGTTTGGAGGCTATCCTGGAACTAGCTCTTGTAGACCAGGCTGGCCTTGAACTCACAAAGATCTGCCTGCCTTTGCCTCCTGAGTGCTAGGATTAAAGGCATGCACCACCACTGCCCAGCTGCTGCATGGAAATTTGGTGTTTTCTCCCAGTAATCATTTAACAATACAGTCCCAATACATTTGCCCTTTTGGTCTCATAACACAATGTGAAAATTCATAGGTCAGGGAATAAAATTATTTAGAAAGATATAAGCCATTAATTAAATCTTTTATTGATTTTTGTCACAGAAAAATGACACAGAGTAAGGACAATGAAAAAGGCACGAAAGTTGAATTTGGAATTGTATGGTTTACAACACTGTCACCATACTTTCTGGCTTAGAGTTAAGAGTACTTGTTTTTTGGTTTGTTTGTTTTGTTTTTTGTTTTTTGAGATAGGGTTTCTCTGTAGCTTTGGAGCCTGTCCTGGAACTATCTCCTGTAGACCAGGTTGACCTCAAACTCACAGAGATCTGCCTGCCTTTAATCTCGAGGGCTGCCCAGCTAAGAGTACTTGTTATGATCAACATAAATTATCTTTCCTAAGAATGTAAGCCTAGAATATGAAGAGTAGTGTGTGTGTAGTGCAACAGCAGTAGACAAAAAGACTGAGCAGTTAGACAGTGCAATCACTGATGGCGAAAGAACTACTCAAGCCCACACTCTAATGAGGTGTCAGAGCAGGGCCCTGGGCTGCTAGGAAACCACCTCATTCTTGCATTAGGAATAAGAAAGCAAATGAGCCAAGCAGATCGAGAGGCTGATGACAGATGCCAGAATCTACAAACAGCACTTGTTGCATTGATGTGTGTGCCTTGTAAGGGTTTCTCCTCTCACAAAAATGTGTGTGTGTGTGTGTGTGTGTGTGTGTGTGTGTGTGTGTCTGTATGTGTGTGTGTGTGTCAGATAGAGAGAAAATTTATGTTATGCTAAAAGTTTTTACACTAATTGTCTATTCAGTGACAAGAATTGCCATAATTAACATGTTGTTAAAATGTTAGGCATTTTTCTATCTTGTATAATTTTCAACAAAGAACACTCTCTTAAAATTCAGTCTGTCAAAGCATATTTGTGAAGTGTAACCATGACACTATCCAGAAATAAAGTCTGACACTATTCCCATGGAGTTGAGTTCCTCACCATCTCCCAGGTCTGCAGAACCATCAGTCCTATCTCCTCTAAATCCATTTCTGGGCTCTTTCATTGTCTGTAGTTATAGAGAGTCTGAGCAATGTCAGCCCTGGAATCTGTGACGCATTGACAAGACCAAGGTCCCCATCCATCTTTACTATATCTTTAGGTTTTTGAAGTTGGAGAGTAGAGGTTGGCCCTGGAAATTTTTGTTTTAAAAAGAGAATGCTAAGAAAACTTTTGCAGCTCTTAATGGCCACTCATTTGGATAGTCTAGTACATGGGCTGGAAGATGGCTGCTACTTTAAGGCCAGTCTGGGCTATACAGTTCCAGGCAAGACAAAAAAGGAAAGAAAAAAAAATGCTTTTAAATTTGCTGTGCTTCCTATATACTGTGGAAGTAAGAGCCTAACGTAAGCTTTAACCTGGGGAAACTTAGGTTAGAATTGGACAAATGTTAGAGATAAGAATCAGAGCCCTAGGCTCTGCATCTGTCCTCCCCGGACTCTGCTATCTTGACTGGCAATTCAAAGTTCTACCTGTTGAATCAGAGGTCTCTTCAAGTCTAATCTGAAATAGATGTCACTCCATGTTCCAGTAAGGTTACAGCCAGCACTGGTAAAGGTCAAGTCAGGTCTGTACCTTACTTATTTCTTATTGATATAACAGTATATCTGATATTAAATAATTTATAAGAAATTTGTTTCTCATAGCTATGAAGACTGGCAAATCTACCATAAAGGAGCAGACATTTTATGCCCAGTGAGAGTCCTCTACCTTCACATGACAGAGATGGAAAAGGCAAAAGGAGGCAACAAAGAGAAACCTCTTTTATAAGGGCTATTTTCCCACTCCCAGGGGAGGAACCTCAGTCATGGTCATGTCCTCAAGGCCCCACCATAAGCACTGTACTGGAGATGAATGCACATACTCAGACCACAGGAGTTTGCCAGGATGCCTGGTTTCTAGACCAGTTTGCTTTCCTTTCTGGAAATAAAACTGAAAAGGTCACTCTGCCTTCTGAATATTTTAAGAATAAGCAGGTTTTTTTTTTTTTTTTTTTTTTTTTTTTTTTTTTTTTTTTTTTTTTTTTTTTTACATTTTGCAGACTAAGCCAGATGGATGACTTGGAACAGGGAGTCTCCATATTTAGATAGCCAAGCTGGCTGCTTGTAGTGAGGGAGCCTAAAACATAAGTTATTTTTAGTTTTTGGAATTCTAGACTAAATCTGGGAAGATCAGTAAAGAATTCTTGGAATATCACACACACACACACACACACACACACACACACACACACACACACTAAAAGTTGTTCTAAAGCCAAAGACGAAGGGTAGGAGGAACCACAGAGAGTAAATAATAGACCATGAAGACAGTGTTAGGGAAGTGTGTATGAGGGAGGGTATATACTAGCCTGAGATTCTGCTATAGTTAGTGCCTCTCTACTGCAGTTGCCACCCTCGCTCTGCCCACTCCAACACCTATGCTATGACACACTCAAGTCAGAATTGTTTCACCCTGGATTCCAGAACGTTTAGGAAACTTGAAAGAGAAAAAGAGAAAGAGCCAGTTCCAGGACAGGAACCAAAAACTACGGAGAAACCTGTCTCGAAAAATCAAAAAAAAAAAAAAAAGAGAGAAAAGAAATATTGCAGTGAGAATTTAATGGGCCATGTTCCTGTAAACTCTTATGTTCATGAGTGATTATGTCCATTGGTACACACATTTTAATGCTGAATGCACTTTTAAGGAAAGAACTACAGATTAAAATAAGTGAACCACAATAACAAAGAGAGAACCAAAGAACACAGTCTCTATGGAGCAATGATTAGAGAGCCCCACACTTGCTGCTTCCCAGTTCTCCAAAGTAGAGAGATGCTTACCACATCAAAACAATTGGTGAACTCTCCTGTGTTTGTTACACAAGCTGCATCTTCTCTCCAACCTGGAATATTAGTGACTTGTAGCCTTCACGTCCGGGGTTCACTGTGTGCCTATGAGAAAGGCAGGAGGTACATGATCTCCAGTGCCTGGAGGCCATCTCAGAATAAAGGATAAAATATAGGAAGACTGACCCACTAAACATAAGAAAAAGAATGATACAGTCTCAGTCTTTATTATATTAGATTGATGTGCCTATGTTTACAATAATGAACATTGTTATCCTTAAGAACTGAGTACACGGAGGAAGGAAGGCACAGCTATGTATTCAGATAGGGCCCAGCACAGGAATCAATGGTCTTAACGTGATCCAGTCTGAAAAACCACATCGAATCAGCTAACGGGACTCACTCACTTTAACCACTCTGTGTCTACTGATCAGGCCACAGTGTCTAGAACTGTATTACACAAAATAATCAATATCAACATAATCAGATCTTCTAAAGGGACTCACTCATTTTAACCACTCTGTCTAAAGTACTGAATCATGCCACAGTGTCTAGAACTGTATTATACAAAATAATCAATAGCAATGTAATCAGACCTTCCACTGGAACAACTTTAAAGGCCCAGCAAGATTACTTCTCAGAAATTTTCCTCTATGTGACTCAGCATGGCTTCACATGGTGATATGCTAATTTTTACAGGAAGACCATCAGAAGGAAAAGCACCTGCTTGGTTCAGAGATTATGAACTATGACTTCAGTAGCCTAAAACTTTAAAGGGTTCCTGGCAGTGAAACACAACCTACAATAAAGCTCTAGCCCCAGATGTGACCAAGGTCACATTTCTACCCTCCTTTTTCCTGACCATAGAAAATTAAATGCCAGCTATCCAGGTGCCTGTTAACGCCAATGAACAGGCTAAAGCTTCCTATAGAAACCATAAATGATCTGATGCCATCTGTTTTGAACAAAAGATGACCTTATTTCACTTTTCCAACTGCATTTCAAATTGTGTACAGTTTCACCTTGAAAGGAAGCCTAATGGTTGCTCTTAACTTGAATTTCAGAACACAATAGATGTGGCTCTTCCAACGTGGTCTCCTGTGCCAGGTGCCTCCAGCTGGGTCCAGAATGCGGATGGTGTGTTCAAGAGGTGGGCCTTTTCTGTTGGTTTCTGTTTGTTTGTTGTTCCTGCTACCTTTGAGTTTTTCGCATGCTTACCTTTCTCTCTAGCCTGGCTTCATCCCCCCAATATTCTGTACTTTAGGACACATCAAGAAGAAAGATAACCCTGAACAACAGGAAAGTTTTATTCGGTTTTCTGTGGAAAAGCAGCGTAACTGGTTGAATATAAAATCAAGCATAACATTTTTATTAGAAAAAGTGTGATAATTTTGACATGAAGTGAAAAACATTTTATGTTTTCCATCTGTTCGTAGAAGAAGTTGGCAAATACCTATATAACTTTTTATAGTAAGTAGACTTGGATCTAGGATTCCTGCTGCAACTCGCAGCACAAAGTTACATACCCAAGTTTGATTGCTTTCTTAATACTTTCTTATAATCGAAAAACAGGATGATTGCTCGGTCCTTTTTACTTGTTTTTATATGAAATACTCGAAGTTCAGAGATTTTTTAACATTGTATGGCAATTTTTGTTTTTTTTTTTTTTTTTATGAAAAATGTGACGCCTTTATTCTTACACTGGAACTGTTCCTAAAGTATTGTGTGTATTTAAATCCTGGAGAGAGGAGAATAATTCAATGTTTTGTTCAAAGTTAGTGTTTTTCATTCTGTGTGGAGAAACAAATTCCAACAAAATTCATAGTAAAAATAATAATGGCTTCTTGTTTCACTCTAAAGTTGTTTTATGAAGTTTTTAAAATCAATAATCTTAACTCAGGGGTACCTACGTATACTGTTTTCCCAAGGTGTCATCTGCTAACTTAGAATCTCTTTGTGAAATTGCCCGGGTAGATACTTAGGCAACTCCTGGGAATTGCAAGCAACAAGCCCTCAGAGTCTTCTGTCTGACATGGTCATGAATCTCTAGTTTTACTTCCTCTAATTTAGCTCAACAATTAAACAATTAACTCCCATACTGTTACCCTATCTTCTTACTCCCCTTCGTCATGCATGAAGCAGGAAGACAAAAACAGTCAAAAAGTTGCAAGGCTGATATGTATCTCTCTCTGCTATGAACAAATCAGGACACAAGCACAGAAAGGATTCGAGTACAGGAGCCATAATTTGAAATTACACTTTCTGCTGACAGTCTCATGTTCTCCTGGGTGTTCTGGGCCGACATGGGAAAAATCAGATGCCACTGATTAACAAGGAAGTACTTTGTCACAACCCAACTCAGACAGTGACACAAAAAAGATTCCAGACTTTTTTAGTTCAAGCTCTATCATCTAAAGACTAGACAGACTTCTTGCCATTCTCTGAAGGATCTTTTCCTCACTCATCTCTACAGCCTTGAATGTGGAGCTGACTGTAGGGTTCTTTCTCAGGAATCTTTTGGGGCCTGGTGTTCCTGATCCTAAGTCAGAAATCCATTCTAGGGCCTTGCTGTTTGTGCCTAGCCAACTTCAGCTCTGAGAGCTTCAGTTGGAGGTGTTGTGAGAAGCTTTCAGAAATATGCTTCAAAGCCTAGTTGTCAAGTGTGTCAATTGTGACATCGGGTCCCAGAGACTACTCTTCCTCACAGCTGTGATTGGCACAAAAGCAGAGAAAAATGGCAACTCTGAAAATACCCATCTGTCTGGTCACAGCAGCAGGGGTTTTGGGGGTGTGCCACGGGATAAGAATTCAGAAGGAAGAAAGTCACTGCAGAGGAGGTGCTGAAGGGACAGAGGAAACCCGTGTCAACTGTTAAACGTGCAAACAGGGACCTTGGGGAAATACTGAAAATCTGCAAGGTTATTCTTGTCTACAAACTGTAGTGTAAGGTAGTATGTATAGATTAGAAATATCAGGCTCTGCAGAGATACAACGTTGCATTTAAACCTAGTTCCAACAGTTTCTAACTCTAAACTGTGTAACCTATGTGCCCTGTGCAAACAACTAAGTAAACTATGCTGCTTCATCCCTTTAAATCACTCCCGGACCTCTCCAACGGCAATGCTGATTGTGTCCACTCCACACTTTAACCAATGTATAATGAAGTAACATATTCTGTGATCTTTTACTCTTTTGGCCTTTTGGGGGGAGGGAGGGCTCGCCATCCTGTTCCCAAGTAAATCACAGATGGAGGCTTATTATTAGTTATTAATGCCTTAGCTTAACTCGTTGCTAGCCAGCCAGTTTTTCTTAAAACAGCCCTTTCCACCTTTGCCTCTGGACTTTTATCTTTCCTAACTTCAGTATACTTTTGGAAACATCTGTATACCTTTTTTCATGGCTTGCTGTGTAGCTGGTAGCCGGCCTCTGACATCCCCTCTTTTTCCTTGTTCTCTTGCCCCTCTTTCTTTTTGTTTCTCCTTCTGTTTATCCTCTCTGCCTGCCAGTCCCACCTATCCTTGCTCCTGTCTTGCTATTGGCCATTCATCTCTTCATTAGAACCATCATGTGTTTTAGACAGGCACAGTAGCACAGCTTCACAGAGTTAAACTATGGCAACATAAACAAAAGCCACACACCTGAAGGTAATATTCCCCAACACAGCATAGGACATTGCTTGAGATATAGGCTAGGGATGCTTTCCTTGTATTTATGGAGGTGGGACTGCCTGGGGAAACGGCTCAATGGGGAAAGTGTTTGCTGTACAAGCACACGACCTCAGTTAGGACCCTCATGTCCCATATTAAAGCCAGCTGTAGTGCCATGCATATGGAACCCATACTAGAAGGTGAAGACAGGCATATTCCTAGGACTTGCTGGCAAGATAATCTAGTTGAAATGGCAGACACCAGATTCAGTAAATAGGACCATATCTCAAAAACTAAGGTGGAGAGGTAATGGGAAAAGACACTTAAACCTCATCTTGCCCACGAGTACTCGTGTCGGCAAGCAAAGATGCATACACATGCATATTCCACATGCACACACAAAAATAATAATGAGTTAAAAAAATAACAGGCTCTGAGGGTACAGTCTTTGCCATTGTCCATATCACTAAGAGAAGTAACAGGCAGTCTTTATAGGCTGGCCCCATATCATCAAGAGGTAAGCTCACCCATCGTGTAGACATAGATACAGGTGGTGACCCTGATTTTTCAGAGAGAAACAATGGAGAAAAAGAGAAAGAAAAGAAGTATTTCCATATCATGATAAGGGAAGAAAAATAGCTTAACAAACCTGGTCAAGTTACCGCCTTCTGCAAGGCTCTGGGAACACTCCAGAAGGGAAAGATATAAGAGCTGGAACGGAAGCCTGAGGAATGCTGCCTACTGGGGATGGCAAAGCCAGCGCGCCCTGAAACTCAGCAGCACTAGCCCCCTGCACTGGGCCTACATAATACTGGTCTTGTCAACAACTGGTTATGGATGGGACCCTTCCCTCTCTACCAAATATTAGCAACCAAAAGATCCCGAAAGTGTAGTCATTGTCTTTAATTATGAACTGAATGGTGAGCCCCAGAGGCTTTAGCAGATAATTCAAACCCCGGTTCACAAAGACAGCCCTGAGTAAACAGTAGATGACAAAATAAAACAAAACAGACTTGAATGTGAGACAAAGCTTCATAGGGAAGAGGAGGCATTACTGGTTGAGGGAAATAAATGGGGAATAATAGTAATCAGCAAGTATTATATGCATGCATGAAATTGTCAAAATATTAATAAAAATCCTCCTGTTTCAAACATCACTATGAATGTAGACACTACTCAATATGCTTGCATTTTTAAATAGCATTTTAATCTGTCATTCCATAATCTGTTTCTCCTTCCTTCCATGCTTAATAAAACTATTAGAAAAACAATTGAGATAGAAAGGACTTTATTAATATCACCTAGTTAACACTCATGTTTCTAGTTAACATCCTTCAGAGCCACATTGTTTTAACAATTGTCCTCTGCCTTGGCTGACACAACGTAGTGTCACAGTGTGGACCTGACTCAAAACTCCAGTTGTCAGAGAATAGAATGTGAAGGGCGCTTGTTGTCATTTAGGAACAGATTGCTGGTTTTGGAAGACCAAAGGACTCAGATATTAGTAGGGAATCTACTTTGTTTCTATGCTCAGAATATTCTGCTTGTGCACAGAAGAGGCAGTGACGTCAGCCTGAGACTCTCATTCTTAACAGATCTTAGCTACAAAACTGTGGAGTCTGATTTCCCCAGTATTTTTCTTGAAGAAAACGTAAAACATAGGGGTTAGAAGAAATCAAAATGACATAATCTGCCAAGAAATTAAAAGGGTGTGGATTCAAATTTCTTTTATTTCAAATGGAAAGTAAGCCACAATGGGCAAGAGCCTTTCTTCCCTTTTCAAACCTAATTGGCCAATTGGCAATGCTTTTCTGACTTAGTGCTTACAGTCAGCTAAAACAGCCTTTCTGATTCAGACATTGCAAAATAATTGAGAAGATTTTGCTATTTTAGCAAAACTACTTGACATTTAAAGGTCACACAGCATATAGCTGGATGTATACTCATAGGAAAGTAGCCGCCCTTTTTTTTCCATTCTGTACAGCAGAGTTCAGAAACTCTAGTAGGCAGAGACGGCAGATTAGAGCTGTTTATCCTTTATTTCCATCGCATAATCTGAAATCTTGTGGATTTTATATGCGGAAAACACATATGGCCCTTCACATGTAATGTGAGCTGGGAAGGCAACAGGTAATCTCCCTGTCCCCTGGATGGTAGAAAGAGTTCTCCACTAACACATGCTATGGCAGTTACTGGCTACCTTTTTCTGAAGATCTCCATGCAGTTTATTAACTACATCTGGCTGATAGTTGTAGGTGTTACCAGCTGATATGATAAATTTAGATATCAGTAAAGGCTCTGACTTTTAAACTTCTGGTTAAAATCCAAGTGAAGGTCAAATGCTAGGCAATTTTAAATGTCTGTTTCCAGGACACCACTTAGCAAACACCTGGAAGGCTCAATTAGAAAGAAAGGCACATTGCATTTTTCCTTTTCTTTTTTTTTTAAATGTTTATTTATTATGTATACAATATTCTGTCTGCATGTATGTCTGCAGGCCAGAAGAAGGCACCAGACCTCATTACAGATGGTTGTGAGCCACCATGTGGTTGCCGGGAATTGAACTCAGGACCTTTGGAAGAGCAGGCAATGCTCTTAACCACTGAGCCATCTCTCCAGCCCCCGCATTTTTCCTTTTCATTGTGTTAGGATCACCGGTCAGAGCCGTACATTAACTGGGGATAAACACTGTGAGGACCAGACAGGAAAGTATTGCCGCTGGCAGCCACACATTCTCCTTGCCTTGTTCTATTGCCATCTTCTAAAAATGGGACACTGATATACAAACCATGTAAAAACAGACAAAATGTCACATTTGTCCTACTAACTTTAATTTTCCAAGTTTTGCTCTAAATTGACAAAGAACAAAATTGGTTTTGAAAGTTTTTTTTTGCCCACTTTGATTCTACCTAATCATTCCCTGATGCTGGTGATCTCGTTCTTCATAATAAATGACCTCACCCTCAGCATGTCATTTAAACTTTAGAATTTGCTTTCTCATAACCTAAGACATTCTCTTGTCCCTAAGATTTACTCCCATAACTTTTATAGTTTCCTGCTTAGTGTCTGAATTCACCCATGATCTGTAGATTTCAGTAGTGAAGACTCCAGCCTTGATCTGTATTCTGAACACTTTGAACACTGTAATCTTGCACTCAGCAGTCTTTCACCAAATGGTTAATTAAGTAGAAACCAGAGTCCCCAAATCATATGAATGAAAGGCAAATTGACTGAATACTGAACCAAAATAGCCTTGTCAGGAAGATTGCTGAGCAAATGTTTAACTCACATGCAACTATTTCAAATAATCTACAGCAATACTGTCCATATTAAAGTGTTTCCAGACTTTTAATGTAATACCTGATCATGTGAAAAATAGAAGTATCATTTTTTTTGCTCTTAGCCAGAACAAATTAACTTTTAATCATATTCCAATAATCCTAAGCATATGGGTTGACTCTTAAACAACTAGCCACCTTTTTCTGCTGAATGGGAAGGGTTTAGTTTCAGACACAAAGTCAGAAGAGTCTGAACTTGAGTCTTCTAACACCGTGTCACCACAAGCATCTTCCTGGGTTTCTCCAGTTCTTCACAGGCTGATTTGTATATGGGAAGCTGCAGAGGTCGTTGATCTGAGAGCTAGATCTCCAGCTCCTTCCTCTTTGAGCTGTCAGCACTGTCAGGCATGTGATTTGGAGGAGTTGCTCTCATCTCCTGAGCACAACAGCACAACACACGGGAGACATGCCAGCTGTGGTCCTTGAAACATGAGGCATGACATGTGGAAACAATAAATTGTCTCCTTTGACGAATTCTTTCTTAGGTCTGCCTTTCCAAAATCAGATGTTTAGAAAAAAATGAAACTGGTGTAATATTACAGTGTTCAGTCAACAACAATTAAAGTGCTTGATTAAGCTTCTCCACATTATTAAATTGTTTTCTTATTTTTTAAATGAAATGTAGAGTGAACCTTTTTATTTCTGACAAATTTGCCCATACCTTTATTAGGAGAATGCAGGTAATTTATGCAGTGACCTAATTTGTTCTACACAGGAAATGTCTCCTTGTAATATTTGTAATGTACAGGTCTCTTAAGTTGTTACTGTGATGATTTGCTAAAAACAGTGATTTCCCTTTCTTTAAACAGGACTTTGTTTCAGGTGGATCAAGAAATGAACGGTGTGATACTGTTTCCAATTTGATAAGCAAAGGCTGTCCAATTGATTCGGTAGAATCCCTGGCTGTGCGTGTGGCTACACCAAGTGAGAAGGAAATCAATACCCAAGTGACACCAGGAGAAGTCTCAATCCAGCTACACCCAGGTTTGGTGGTTTTCAAAGGAACCTGTGATGACCATTAATTTGCAGTGACAGCTGCTAGTGACAGTTAATATGTCACAGCAGAAAGCATTGTAGTTGAAATCTTAGTGAGTTCAGATCAAGGGACGATGGTTCTAGTTCCTGTCATGTCTGTAGCTATGCTATGTGGCCTGGGCTGCACTATAAACCTTACTACAACCTATTATAACTCTGTTCTGATCGTACAGGCCAGTCACACTGGGATGTAATTGTGCTCTGGTTTTTTGTTTTGTTTTTGTTGTTACATTCAGCTATTAAGCCAGTAGAGGATAAAGAGGCACACATATGCCACAGTGCACACAGAGAGAGCATCTTGCAGGAATCAATTCTATCTGTTATGTCTGTTCCAATGATTTCATGGCCTTTTGTCAAGCCTAGTAGCAACTGTTCATACCTGCTAAGCCCAAAAAGGAAACATACTTTTTTGTTTTCTTTCTCCACTCAGAGTGTTGGAAGAGAGTAAATTCTCCATAAGTACTTACATGATGCATTCATTCTTTAGCTAGTAGGAAATACAGATTTGTTAAGTACTTTGAACTCTTGCTATGAACTTCTAAACACAGAACTACCATTCATTATTACCATAATTGCCTTTAATAGCTTTGCACTAGCACCTGAGATTAGTGTGTTCTTTTCCTCAAGCATTTCTCCGATATTTCCCCTTCTATAGCAGTGTGTTCCACAGGAATCTGACGCATGTTGTAGCTCTGGAAAACATCCATTCCCCCAGGTACATAGAATTCCAATATGTGAACTATATACAAAATGTCGAAGTTCACAGATATGTACCACAGAGCTCAAAGACAGGTTTAAAAAAGTAATAAATTGCTTTCAATTCTTCATTTGTTCACTGTGGGTGGCATGTCTTGTCATCGGTTTTTGCTTTTAATAATAACAACAACAACAACAACAACAACAACTTCTTGCTACACTTCTCATCTCACTCTAAATGCTGAACTACTTTTTTCTAGAATTAGCTACTAGCAAAGCAAAGTCTTTCTTTCCTTGGATATGTTCTTAGCTTCTACGTTCTTCACAATATAAAATAATGATACAGCTCAATATGGAAGTACATAAGCACCAGCAGGAAAGAGATGCATAGCCAGTACAAAAATTTTAATTCTGTTGGTAAAGATTATGGTTCTTTCCATCTACTATTTAAAAAAAAAAAGGCATTGTTTACTCAAGCCAGGGTATTCACTAAAATCTGCCCTTAACATTCCAATAATTATGTGTCTCACCTCTAAAGTTGTAATTGTTTTACCACCTCTAATGAATTTTCTCTCTACCTGAGTTTACAACAGGTTCAGGGCCTCTGGTTTTGTAATCTCTCCTAATCCATTACCAATAGTCCCAGTTTCTTTATTTTACCAGTCTCCGTATCTTGACAGCATTCCCATCCAATCACCTTTTCCACCTTTGCCTCTAGGCTAGGTTGGTTTGTTCTGTGTTAACATTCAATAGTAACACACATGATTCTCCATTATATCTTGACTTTCTGACTCATGTGTCTGGGTTACTCCCGGAGCGCACCTGAATTTCAAGGCATTCTGTCACCATGACCTTTACCCCAAACCTCTCTTCAAAGCTTACAGATTCCCGCATCATCACTTCATTTAACTTGAACAAGTTCTTCATTAGAGGAGAGCTACGAATATCCCCTTTAGTATCTGAGAGGAAAATACAGCAGAACAGCTGAGCTTGCTTAGTAAACCTGGCGCTTTCGTCTGTTTAGCTGCCGCCGCACAATGCCTTACATTTGGTCACACAACAGAAATGACAGAACTGTCTTTTCTCCCAGTTCCAGAAAGGCTAACATGTCAAAGGTCAGGGAATTTCAAAAACAAAGTTTAGGCAGATCTGGTTTCTAGTGAGTTTCTCCAGTCTCCTAGCTATCCACTTCCTGCTGAGACCTGCTGTGGTAGGGCTGAGGGGGAAGTCTTAGCAATGGGGATGCTATGGATGGCAGCTCTCTTGTATCTTAGAGGACCACTAATCCTATTATGAAGCACCCCCATGTTGTCATCTAAACCTATTATACCCCAAGGCCCCCTCTCCAAATACAATTCAGTTTACAACACTTCATAAATAAGTGTTATTTGTAAAGTCCATAAAATGTATTAAGAAATCAACCACAAAAGTTACAGAAAGCAAAAATTATTTCATGATCTTTGAGCACAATGCCATAAAAGTTGGAATTAAGTCAAATGATGTAATCAAAATTCTAGCTACAAAACTAATAGCAACAGTAACAAAATACATCTAATATATAGGTTGTAACTTGAATTGTTCTTTGTGAAAAAGAATGAATAAAATAGAGTGAGTGTCCAAACCAAAGAATAGCAAAACAAGCAATTATAAAATAAAAAGGAACTAATAAATTTAAAATAATAAAAGTAATAAACTAAAGCATTAAAATGAAAATGTAAATATATATTTAAGTATGAATTAGTTCTGTGTAAAGCTCTTTAAGAATAATAAATTGTTAATAAATCTAATCAAGAAATGAAGACAAAATAAAATAGGTTAATTGGATAAGAAATACTTTTTAAGTATTTAGGTAGAAACACATGGTAAGAAGTGTTTTTTGTTCATTCAGACTTTCAAGGAACACATTATACCTGTGCTGTATAAACTCTTAGAAAGATTTGTATCAGGCCTACAAGCTACTTAGCTGGGAGTCCCTATCACCTCACTGTCAAAGCCTTAACAAAAACTGAAGCAATTCAAATTAGACCACACCTACAAAGTGTTGTAATAGGAGCAGCAGGCTGCTTCCCGCCACCCGGCTAGCAAGCAGGCCGCTTCCCTGCCGCCCCAGCTCCTGGTTGCCAGCTAGCTGTATACCCAAAATAATTACACGGAAACTGTATTCTTTTAAACACTTTCTGGCCCATTAGTTCCAGCCTTTTATTGGCTAGCTCTTACATATTGACCTAACCCATTTTTAATAATCTGTGTAGCCCACGAGCTGGCTTACCAGGAATGATCTTAACCTGCGTCTGCCTGGAGTGGGAGAATCATGGCGACTCACTGACTCAGCTTCTTTCTCCCAGCATTCTGTTCTGTTTACTCTGCCTACCTAATTTTCTGTCCTATTAAAGGGCCAGGGCAGTCTCTTTATTTAACCAATGAAATTAACACAAAACAGAAGACTCTCCCCCATCAACAAAGAACCACTGTGTCCAGACAAACAAAAGAATAAGATGTTCCCACACAAGATGTTACTGTGACAATTATTAGTCTCCATCAACACTGTTAAATTAAAGCTATTCAGCAAAGGTGAGATATGCCCAATTATGTTCAAATGCAGTGTCTCTAAACAAAGCTGCTAACTTCATTTGATGGTGACTCAGTTTTCTGTTGTCAATACAGAACACCTCAGAGAAGTAAGGGTTTGTTTTGGTCCATGATATCAGTTTCTACTCAGGATCCCTGGGCCCCAGAGACGGCCCATAATGGCAGGAAGATGAGTCCTGTTTAGTTCATGATGGTCAAGGACAAAGAGAGAGAGAACAGGGGTCCCAAAGTCTTTCCATAGGCACACCTCCAATGACTAACTTCATTCAGTTAGGCTCTTCTTCTTTCTTAAATGTTCTTAAATGTTTTACCAACAGCCTTGGAGGCTGGATCAGACATTTAACATATGGGACCCTTGCAAACATACAAGTTTCAAATTGTAGCTTAGTGTTAAAGAAAGAAGTTTTGTTTAAATATTTAATGTGTAGTCATTCCCATATGCTTCATAAGAAGAACTTGAGGTTCATTTAGATTTATGTGAGTCAAGTTTCCTGTCTTATTTGTTTTAATGTCTTTAGGGTTTTATTAAAATTTTTATTGCATTTGTGTGTGTGCGTGTTTACAGGCGTTCATGATGCAGCTCATGATGGGAGAACAAGACACAATTTGTGGGAATCAGTCTTTTCTTTCCATCAAGTGAATTGCAGGAATATAACTTAGGTCATCAGTAGGAGACACCTTTACAAGTTGAGCCATTGGCCCAATCTTCAGTGTTTTCAGTTTAGTCCATGAGCTATCTGCTCTTGCCCTTTCTTCAACCAGTACTAGCATGCTGGAACATCTTTTGTAAGCTTACTATTCTAACCATCCTTAACTCTAGGTATTGGGCATGATTTGCTTTTCCATGCAAATAAGGCAATGACCCTATTTTTATAATTAAATACTAATTTACAGCAGGTCATCCTATTTTATATCTTATTTATCATTAATAAATCCTTTATATTCCCTGCTCTTTAGGAAATATTTGCAGTGTAAGTACCTATAAATTGTACCTTTCTGTTTATGTGTTCATGCAATTCATATATGTCAATTATTACAGTTTTCCCCTTTTGTAAAAGCTATATTAATGATTTGGGTCTTCTGAAATTATAAGCAGTCACCAGAGGCTTCAGAGAAGAAAAGCAATCCTTACCCTAAGGTTATTTAGAATCCAGTGAAAATAATGATGATAATTACTAACATATATGTATTTACTATGTGCAAAATATGGAACTAAATATTCTGTGTAAAGATATCTCATAGTAGCTTTTAGAAATTGAAAGAAGATATAAGATGCCATGTCTGAGACCTCATAATTATTTGGTAAACATTAAAATGATGGTATGATTTAGTTGTTAGGGAAACAAGACACAGAAGCTCAGCTTGGTCCAAGGAGGAGTAGCTTAGTGAAGAGTGTCTTAAAGCAATAATTACATGAAGAAAGGGAGGTTAGTTTACTGCAGGCAAAAGCAATATAAACAGAGCATGGAAGTGTGTGTTTGCAGAGGACTTCTAGAGACTTGCAAGCAGTTTTGTCTTGTTAGACGTTAAGATGCAGATGGAATGAAGACGATGAGACGCTTCAATCTGCCACTTGATTAGCTACTTGAGTACATTAAGCCGGCAGTGACATATACCAGTTTGAGTTTGAAAAAGACAGCATCTCCTTTGGATATATACCCAAA